TGATTAACCGAGAAAAAGATCCTTATATCAATAAAATTGTCTACAGTCTGGTGATCATCGTGTTTGCATCAACTCAATCCAACTTAACGCTACGACATCTCGCGTTATATCGCTGGCAATAGTGGTCTCCGACATCACCTTCTCAAACAAACCCGAACAATATTCGCTACACATTCCTTTTGATCACAAATTTTGAAAAAATCGCAAATAAATCAATCAAACAACAAGCTGGCAAGTCCTATCATCTATTTGCGTGGCTACAATACGTGAAATTCAAAATCATCAAAAACATACTTTGGGAACAGCATAAGATGGTAACGAGTTAGCAAATTCAACATTTTGTCTTTCAGATATATCACCATCCTTATTAATCCGCAGAATGAGACACTGATTCAAGCCACAAACAGCTAGTAAATCTTTCATACTTGCAAGTGCAACTATTTTGAATCCAACTGCATCTAATTCGACTCGCTGCAAATAGAACAATAAAAAAAAATGATTGATAGTGATGCCACTAAGCTACGTGCATGGATCTGGTAAAGGAATTCACAGTACCAACTATATAGTCTTTTCGATTTATTCACTCACTGGTCAGCGTAGGTAACTTCGGCGGCTATCGAAGAGAAGATAGCTTTTCAGTTTGCTCGACGAAAAAAAAAGATATCATTCCTGAGAGGTGGCATCATTGTCAATCTTACCATTGCAAATTTTATACACGCGTATGCAAATGTGCGAGCGATTAGAATTAGCAGAAATAGCTTATAAGTCTAGAAACTCATCCGATTACAAATGGAGCTGACTGGTATATCAAAATTCTTCGTAGATGCACTCAGCAAAGATCGGACGTCCAGCAAAATAATCTTCGAATTTTCTTGCACAGCAACCAGAAGAATCGTGCCACCAATTTCAAGGGAAGCTATCACATTATCTATACTTTTTCCAGTTTCAATTCGTCTATCGAAAAGAGCTTTAGGGTACGCAGTTAACAACTCCTAAAACCAAAGAGTTAAAAGTATTATAAGTGAGAAATTCAAACAAATACTTGCATTTTCGCGAAGAGTGCTTGAATTTACTAACTACTCAGTAAACAGACCATTAACATTTTATAGTATGGTAAGTTAACAGATGAAGACATACATAAGTGCTTTATGAGAAATGCATTGTTCTCCATGACTTTCATTTTCCAGTTCTCACTTTTTGATCAGTTATACCTAATATTTCACCTGTCTAATATCTCGTCTATCGAAATCGACCTCAAAAAACCAAATGAAACCATAGAGTTTTAACAAATAGTCTTACATACCATAATAATACGATCTGTTGATATTGTCAAGCCTTGTATCATCTTTGCATCGACTTCTTTTAGCCGTGTTTCGCGGGCCTTACCTGATCGCAAACGCATTCCTTCCTTTACCGCAGTAATCACTGACATAATATTTTCTCGATTAGTTGTCAGTGTCTCCATAAATTGACACTAAAACAGAAGTGTATGAATTGAAAAAATGGTAAAAGGGAATGTCCAAAAATGAGACACGAAATTTGGAAATATTAGCAAGTTTGATTAAATTTTTATTGCTACATTAAACAGAATAAAAAACGAAGAAATTATATGGGATTTTCTCTGGGAGCTATAATACATAAAAGCAAATGCTAGATATTATGATGCAGATGCTAAATTCATTGAATTTCAGGAATTCAGGCAAATAGAGTTAGGAATTCAATTAGCAGTCTTACATTTCGACACCACTGTCGACAAAGTTACCATCATCGAGTTAGCCTAAACTAAGTCAATTTTGATGAAAATATTCTTTGAATTTAAGTGCGAAACTTGTTAGAAAGTAGCATATTGAAAAAAAAAGTAGTCATACCAAACGATTTTCAATTTCTGTCTTATCTTCATCCATAACTGAGAGATGACTGAACAAACTCAATCTGCGCTTTGACGATTTTGACCGATTTCTAGGCAAAGTCGCATATTTTTGATTACTGACACGCTGCGGTTTTGGATATGATGTGGACTTCAATGCGACACAACCTTTTGCTCCACAATCGCAAAAGAATGATCCAAATTTACTAAAAATTTACCCGGTCAAGCAAGTTACTCATTCTGAATCTTCCTCAAGCTGAAAACTTCGCTGTCAAGTCAGGCCAAAGCCGAAACGCAGATGTCTGGTTTTCCAAAGCTTAATATAATGTGTTTTTTTAGCTATAAGATGTAGGTAAAGTTCTGTCTTTTTGCTATAATAAAGTCACGAATAACAGAAGCAATTTTCACAACGAAAAACAAAACTGAAATAAAAATTAAAAGCAAGAGAACGAAAGATAATATACCTGTTCTCAAAATACACTAGTTAATAATTTCAGGCTATATTCCCTTCTATTTTCAGATGCTGCGAACTTGGAAAAGATTTTAAATATTACCTGTATGACAGATCATGATTGCGATGACAATTAACCGCACACACCGAACAAACGCCTTCTCCTTCAACCATACCACATGTATAGCAATTGTACCAATGCTGCTGGACAAACTCCTTTGCTGTTGACGCGAATGTACACAATGGTAGTGCACGGCTACGTGAACACGTTGGTTTCTTCTAAAAATGTTAAAGATCGGAATTCCATGCCTTCTGCTTTTATCTGTTAATAAGACTAACATCACACCATACCGCATGATCATAGATGTCGGAAATTCTTTGTTCGAAGACGGATATTTATTCTTTTGCAGTTTCAAGAGTTTTGACAAGTTGAAATCCTTCTCAATCATCCCTACCTACTTAGAGTCACAGCGAGAAAATCTAGATGGTCTATAGAATTTCTACCTTAATAATGTGCTTCGGAGTAAAGACTGTGGAAAGATCATCTGAATCGTCTCTGATAACGCCTGGAGGACAAAGGGTCCGACACAAACCATCGATGTAATCCAGTATGCTGCACAGAAAAATAAACGCATACAAAACAGCTGTTATCTGTGAACTTGATACGTTAGATGAGCCCTTTAAAAGCTGAAACATATAAAACTATCTATAAAATTTTCTGGAAAGATAGAAGTCAACTCAACCAATGAATTAAATGAAGTGGATTATTTCGATAACTCACCACACAGTTCCATCAATGAACCCCAACCGCATATACGTTGACATGTCGTACTGAACTTTTCAAAAAAAGGTCCAAACATCAGTTTAGAGTTCATATCTGATTGAGTAATTCGTAAATTAGTTATTAAAAATACGATGAAAAAATCAAATCTCTTGAACAAAATTAAATATCACCTCTAATCCGTCCTTTTGAATCAAATCAACCAATTCTTGGAACAATTTTGCGCACTGCTCAATCAAACGACAGTGTATTTTCGGACCACCAATATTTAGCATCGTTAGCAAACCTTTACTGAAAATATCCACCTCTTTGAGTTGCTCACTCTTGCGATCCTCGGATCCACTGCCTTCTTTTTCATTCTGATTGTTCTGGAAAAGATTAACTTATGCTTCCTACTGTCCTCTGTTTTCCAGTTTTTGAAGAAGAATATTACAGAAAGCAAGAATGAATAACTACCATTTTTCTCGAGCATAGTGATGCATACATCCATCGGTCGCTTCGTTTCACTTCAATCAAAGAGCTGCTGGCTGTTCGTTGATGAACTTCCTCGCCAAAAAGAACGTTAATCATTTGCTCTAATAAAGCTTGAAATCCTGGATCATCAAAACTGGCCTTTCGATCTCTATCGCCTGCTAAATGTTCAATTAAAGGTTGTAGCATACAAAATGTATTAAGCGGTGCTGCACTGACACTGATCCACTGAACAAGTAAGTCCTGATGTTTCTCAAGTGGTGACAAAAATCGTGAGTTCAAATGCGCATCTGAAAAAGAATTGTATAAGCAGGAAAAAGACTGAACAGAACGTAATAATCTTCGCTTTGGTACTCAACGGAATTTTTCAAATCCCATATCTGGTGAAACTAAAATTTTCAAACCGTTCGTAAACTATAAACTCTTAATGTAAGACAGACTACAACAAGTAAATATTACTTGACATACTTTTTGAACAACATATGGTCGAAAGCAAGTTGACAAATGGTACTGAACGTTTCATAAGTGAATCGTCCACAGCAAGACGATCCAGAACAGATGAAAAGATGTTTTCTGGCAGTTTATTCCATGGTAAATCGAGAGAACTTTGTGACGATACCAAATTTATTAGAATGGAGCAAAAAACTGACTGACCATTTCTAAAAGTACGGACATAAATCGAATAATAACAAAAACTATTTTTTTAGAGGTCTCAGTCTGGGAAGCAAATCACAGAACTGTCTGAAGGGATATCAGTTTTCAGCATTTTCCGAGATCTTGTAAACTGTTAAAAAAAAATGACTCATGGAAATCAATATTCAAATTTCAAAATTCGAAAAATAGCATACAGTAAATTAGTTTCTGAGGTAGTCTGCTGAGCTAATACTCCATCCAATAAAGTAGAAACAATATGAGCTAGATGACGACTGATTACCAGAACTATATCCATTTTTGACAGCACCGATTGGCTCAGTTCACGTGTTGCTGTTCCTGTCAGATCCGAACTGTGAATAAAAATCACCCAGTCAAGAAGCAATGGCGTTTCATCCTGATGTCGTACACCGTTTCTAAAGTATCTTCATTCAACATTCATTTTATTCTCTAATAAAATGCCAATCCCACATCGTTTAGCTCTCACTCCGTTTAATTTTAATCACTAGTTTGAGAAAAACAATATGAAGAGTAAAGTAAGCAGAATCATCTACTATTCAAATAATTTGTACCAATTCTAATGTTTTGTTAATAAACGTCAGTAAACTTCTTTGAACATACACTTCTCGATTCTTTCTCATTTCCAATTTTAAGCACCAATGGCTGCTTAAAAAAATCGGCTACTTAAATAACATGCTAAATAAATCGGTATTTCTAAACGATCTATTCTATTTCCCCAAGACTGCAGCAACATTTTTGAGTATGCCGCGTAAAACAAAGAAAAATTAACCTTGACAACAATTGATTAAGTACAAATCGAGTTGTGTTATCGCAAAGTGAAGAAAATGCAGCAAACATCTGCAAAGCGAATTGCAAACGGTTTAATACCTAACTCAAAAAACCTAGGGAAATTTTGCTCAGAGTTCAGTATTTACAATATTGGAATATCTGGAATTTACCAAAACATATGGAAATTTACAGAATCTTTTCCATAACCTCAGATGAAAACGAGAAATCAAGGATAGTGTAATTTCTACCTGTTTCTTAATATCGCGTACTTGTGTAATAACAGAATACGGTGACTGAAATGTATCACTTGTTGCATCTAGCATAGCTGGTGTACAAGAAAACCTTAATTCAGGTAACGTAAGTCCGGCCCACGTACGAACCAACTTTAACAAATCATCATTCAAAATAGAATGAAGTTCACCACGTGCATGCGGTACTGTACTGTTCAATAAGTCACTTTTGCCAAGCGACAATGATGCTGCATATGCGCCCAAAGACAGCGTGACTTTACTGCGTTCACAAATTACATTCCTAGAACACACTAAACCTAATTGATGATCAGAACTGTTTAATGATTGTGCAACTACATGCGGTCAGGACATCTTGCAACTGCATGTGAATAAGGCAGGATTAATAAAAAGATCTGCAATATCAGCCATTCATTCTGTTTATTTTTTATTTTTTGTTGATTTTTTTTCGCTATTTTTTTATTTTTTGCTGATGGCTTCTATTGCTTAGAAGCAATAGTTAACCCGTACTTTTTTCTGCTTGCTGAAGTGTAAACTACACAGCGCTTCGTCCCTCGCGAAGCATTTCAACTCTTGCAGCAGGAAGAGTTCCCAGATTATTTTTCTTTGATCTTTGTACTGAATAAAGACCGAATCACAAATGTATCGAAATACTCACGCTGCATTCTTATACATTTCAAAAACGAATTCAGCCATTCGAACGAGTTCCTCTGCTGAACAACGATATTTTCTTAGCTGATTGTAAAATAGCAATAGAGAATCGTAATATATCAGCGGCAGATTTACAAGATCAATAAGAGACTGAAAAACAGGCAATAACTGTATGGAATTTCTTTTTTTGCCACAAATTCTGATATTTCTGATAAAAGTTAACAACTGAATCTAAAAAATTTTGAGTTGAAAACCTAAACGCAACCATACTTAAGTAGAGGAAATGGAAGGGAAAATTAAAATTCAAACGTAGCCCTACGCAGTCATCCATAATCGGCAAACCAACAGCAACCAGCGTTTCGATTTTAAGCACATGAGTTACGTTTATATTTGTGTTCTCATCATTAAATTTCTAAAAGAAAAAAACTGAAATCGTTGGTAAGATAGTGAACTATACACACTCCACAAAATAAAACGTTTTGTTAAAATAAAGTCATCATTTCGAGGTCCTACAGGGTTTGCTTGATGTCTTACTAACCATAGTAAACAAAAATTCCTTGACTACTTTAATTTACATATACCGCAGCGAAATATGAAAAAAATTCTTCAGATCTTAGCGACAATCTATTTTTTTGATTTATTAGGAATTTCTTCCAGTCACAATAAAATTCTCAATTTGTAAGAACTTACATCCAAATAAGCTGCATAAATGCTGTCCAACAACAGGGGTCGAATGCGTATAAAATGGCAGCGTTCAGCAGGAAGAATACCAGTAGTACTTACAATTTTTGAGAGAAACGAAACTGTGGGCTTAAAGGAAGATTTTAAAATGACAAACGAATTTATAAAATGATACAAATGACTGGTGAGAATTGAAAAATGGAAAGAAACTCTCAGAGCCATGGATTCCAAGAATCGGGGCAAGGAGCTTCTAAAAGTATGCAGTCAGCCCTAATTTTCGATCATTATCAGAAAACCAAAGCATCTTTTCAACCAGTTTTAGATTAAGAGCACAATCCACGTAGTTAAAGAAGTGAATATCTCGATGATATTCATCGGATATGATTTCACCTAAATGAACACAGCTGAAGTATTAAGACCAGAAATTGAATAATAAATTCATGATCAAAACTTCTTTCTATAATCATACCGGCAAAATGATATGTGCAGGAAAGTGCACCTCATCCCACTGCATATCATACAGCCAACTGATATATAAATCATGCAGCTCATCCCAGTGATTGAAATTAAACATAGAACGAGTTAACACAGTATCGCCCCATTTCGTTGGTCTGCTTAGATCTGCAAGAGAACATACAACAACTTTAAATCCGTCAGTTTTTAAATTTAGATTGTTGGAAAAGCATGGAAGTATCATACACTATAAAGTACTTTAAATAATGAAGCTAATATCACCATTTATTTCAAACTATGAACACAGTTAAGAAAATAAGGTATTCATCTCACCGAAAAAATCGCAACAACATTTTCGAAACTTTTTCATGATCACGTTCCTCTTACCATGAGACTGGCCTCCAACTAACAAGAGATGAACAGCTTCTAACGCATAACGCACCCTTTGGCGCTTTACACCACTGTAATATTAAAGCGGTATTGCAAAACCTTAACATAGAATACAGTGGATTATTATAGTGAAGAATGCAGTGAAAAGGTACAATAAACATAGTACCATGTTCAGTTAGTTGCGGGTACTTTCTAGATCAGATAAGAGTTACAATTAAAGTAATGAAGAGAACAAAAGCGTTGTTGCTACAAGGATGAATTCATGTGAATCATCATTTAATATGGAAATTTGAATCTAATTGGAAACAAATAAATAAACCTAAGACCTCTTCATGGCATCATACAACATGTTCATCGCAAAAACGGCTGATTTTTTCAAATCTTCGCTATTCAGTAGTTCGGAGATACACTCGAGAAGCCAAAAGGTGGAATGCCCAGGAATACCATTCCTCGATTCTGCGTCTATTGAGCGCAGAACATGACAAACAATCTGTGCTGCATTTTGACGTCCTAACACACAAACAGCAATAATTTTCAGGCAAAACGGATCCGAAGTAATAATTTCTGATTCATTACCCTTTGGAAAGTACAACATACTATTCACCAGTTGTCCCTGAAGAAAACACAGAAAAGTTAAAAAAATTGGATTGCAAATCTATTATTAATATACTTAACGTGACATGAACAAAAATTCCTCTCTCGAAATATCATTGTCATAAACGCTAACCTCATCATTTTCATCCAGATAACCTTTGTCAAGAGAATGCTCCAGAAGCATTATTAATAATACACTGACATCTTCTGTTCCACAACAGCCATGGTCACCACCTGATGCAGCACATAAATCCCGAAAACAATTGAAACTTGAACTCGTCCAGATGTTCAAAGTGTTTCCCATAAAGAGCAAAATCGACAAACTTCTTTCACATAAGCTTAATAGCTAAAATCAAAAAATGAAATTGGCTTTTTTTTTACTTCATTTTTCTGTTATTCTGCAGTGATGCAATAAGCTTTCTTTTATTTTACCGTTGAAGAGGAGATGGCAAAAAGCGAAGCCTTTTGTAGATTAACTGCATCTTCTTGCTGATCCATTAAAACAGGTACCGCTCTTAGAATATTTTCTAACCAGTCGCCAACACCTGCCACCGGATCATCTGCAATTTAAGCTGTTTTCAAAAATCATTACTATTTATGATTAAAAATCATTGAAAACGACCATACAAATCAAATTCTCAGTAAAGAATCCCAAAACCTAACCAGGTGAATCTGCTGAGGTTAGCTTTTTGACTGAGGTAGCATCACCGAGTCTTAATGCATGTTGTAGCGCTTCCTTAGCAACATTCCAAAGTGCTTCATATAAAGCAGATGATATGGAGGTTAAAATTGATAATGCCGTCGGAAGCATATTGAGGAAACGATTAGCAAAAACGTACGCTATGTCCATTTTGCGACTCCTCAACAACTGCAAATGAAGAAAAGAATGATAGAACAACGAATTAATGTTTTTCACTTTCCTAATCAAAGAAGATCTATTTTTAACTCGCTGTGTAAAAATTAATAGAAAACGTGCAAACAGAGATCTCACTTTCTATCAAATCAAAAAGTTTTCAATAGTACATCGGCAAGCAAGCATGGGACATTTTTGCCTTTCTGAGATTAGAAATACAGAGGTTTTAAAAAAAATCACCAATTTCAGAAACATGCAAACGGTTGGAATAATCACATTCGAAAACGAAGTCGAGCAAACGAAGTCCCCGTTGAGCAAACAAAATGCCCGTTTTTTTTTTCGAAAATCATAACCCGTTAATTGAGGAATTGGATAAGATGAACAGAACTGACGAATGTTTTGATAAATCTCTTCGATGGGATCAACGCAGTAGAAATATGCGCTATATATATGT